AAATAGGGAGAAGAACCCACTCATAATCAGATAGTGTCGCTCCTAACGCTCGGCGGCGCTGGCCCTAGCGGCTGCGGCGCGCGCGGTAAGAAGAGGAAAGGAGGCGTATACCACGGAAATCGGCTGAAATGTTCAGACTAATTCCGAGCACTGGTAGTAAAAAAACACATAGTTATCTTTAAAAAAAAAATGTAGCTGAAATGATATCATATCATATTTTTTCTTAAAGACAACTATGTGTTGTTTTACACCAATTTATTTCTCTTATTATAAAATGTCGTGTGTTACATAATTTACGATATATATAGTTTATTATATACATATGTGTATAGTAAATTATGTAACATACGACATTTTATAATTTATAATACGCATATATTTGTGAAAATTTAAATGATTACTGAGTCCGATTATTTTGTGCATAAAAGTGTTGAGGTAAAATAATTGAAAAATGAATATTTAACGAGGTATTTCATAGTTTATGTAAAATTATGTCAAATTAAAGTATAAAATATCTCATAAACTATTCAATTTTTGGCCATCCTATCCTTGTAACTTTTAGCGCCGAATATTACGAGAAATCGATTTATATAAAAAAATCAGCATAGTTCCATTTTAAAAAATGAAGAGGACCTTCATATAACTTAAAAAAAATTTTTTTTTTCGAAAATTAATTTTACCATTATTTATCCCCCTTGAGACTGTACAATTTTTGTCTAAAACATTTTTCCGTATCTCCCATATTTTTTGAGATATTTGACTGTCAAAAATAAAACGGGACACCCTATATATATAGTAATTATATATACAGGATGGTTCACTAAAGATGTACAGGTTAATATTTCTGAAACTGAACGAAATATGAAATTCTTATTTTCCAGCGACTGTTTGGTATCGAAGCGGGCATTGTGTGATAAAATTAATTCTTTTTTAAGCGAAGTTGTTAAGGTCATTTCAAAGACACCTTGATTTTTTAAATTAACATGTATTTTTTATTATGTACAATTGTGTCTTGTGTCTACATATATTATATATAGTAAAATTGATGTAATTTGTTTGTGTGTGTGTGTGTGTGTGTGTGTGTGTGTGTGTGTGTGTGTGTGTGTGTGTGTGTGTGTGTGTGTGCGTGCGCGTGCGTGCGCGCCGGGATAATGAAAGTGAGCTAAGTAAAAAATTCTTTAAAATTGATTTTATTATTTATTTTGTGTTATATAGATCTATAAAATCGACATGTCTCAAAATAAAAAATTGTCAAAATTTTTCACTTAATCCACTTTTTATAATCCACTTTTTTATAATCACCGGCACATATGTGTGTTTTAATAAATAATTAATTTCATAACATATTATTGATATTTATTCAGATTCCAATAAACTCAAATATCTCCACAATTAAAATTTGAATTTGCAAAACTTTAATTTGCATTGATAATTATAAATTGTGAATATTGTATTTTGTAGCCAAATCATCGAGTTAAATCATCGAGAATAATATATAATATTTAAAGAATTTAAAAAATAAAGCTATTAGCGAATCAGCAATGCCAGAAAGCTTGGTAGAGCGCTCGCACGAGTCTGCTTTATTAATTAGTTGACGTATCGAAAGATTCATTGTAAAATATCGTAAAGTGATGAACGTGAAAACAAATTACGGCGTGAGTGAAACTTGTTGATTATGAATGATTTACTCGACGTTTGCGCGACGATAACATGATGCATCCCGCACTGTGGCAACGTTAATTGATGCGGAATCTCGCAAATACGTGCATTATGATAATAGATCAATTACTACAAAAGCATCGGTGGTTTTGCTGCTGATTATGTGATGTTTGCGAAATCGACATAAAGGTGGCTCCCCCTTCGCGTTGCATTTTTAGCAAATCGATAATAAGACTCTGCAACAGTGCCTTACTGCAGAATAAACGACCATTATTTTAGTTTGACTAATTTGCTTTGAGAAATTTAACTATTTTAATATCATAAGACGTCATGAAAACTCGATTCTCTTAATTTTTTAAATAAAAATTTTTTGCAAAACATAAATGATAAATTGTTATTTCTTCGTTTTTAGAATAAACGTCCAACACATTCCCGCGGAAATATGATTCATCGTTCTTGCAAAAATGTCGCGCTGCTTTTTCGTCAAAGAGTTTCTCATTCTACGATTAACCCATTTCCGAATGACGTTATACTCGTTTTATACGTAAGCTCTTTCGCTTCTGTCCATTATTCAATAGGAATGTCAATGTGATTTCAAGGAAATAATATATTCATTCTTCTCTATAGAAATTCGTGCTTCTTTCTCCAAAAATTTAACTTATTTTCGATTAATATTATATATACGAAGCATTCGAAAATATGCACGAAATATTTCGGCTTATTTGCATATCGCGTAACAAGTATGCAGTGCGCAATACAGTTTCGGTCGGGTAATGATTTCTCCTCAAAGGATTAATTCATTTCTGAATATTATTACATATGCAAACATCTCATTACATACGTAATATTTTTCAAATTGTAAGCCGCTAGCTACATTAGGTGAAACACATGTGCTAAAATATGCAATCTCGCGGCTGGGGGCTGAACGTTGAGCACACCAGGTTGCATCTCGCGACCTGATTTCGAGAGAACGGCCTCGGCGCAAGGACGCGCGTGACGTATAGCTGCGACGATCTCGGCCAGGACGACGTTCCGCGCATTTCCGCGGCTTTCCCAAGCGGATCACTTTTCGCGTTTCAATCGCCAACGATACCCCGAGAGTTAATATATACAGTCAGTATTCGTGTAAGACCAACGGAATTCGATAATCGAATTCTACAACCGCACGCGCGCGCACACACACATGCACGCGCGCGCGCGCCGCATGCACGCACGCACGCACGCAAGGCTAAACCGAGCATCGCGAAATCGACCGATCTGCGGAGTGGAGTCGCAGTCTCACTGACCTGATTTTCCGAACTGAGCATTTTGAGTTGCTCAGTGATGAGGCTGTACTTGGTACTCTCTTCCTTGCGCAGCGCTCGCTCCTTCTTCAGCTCCGGACTCCAAAAGGTCTTGATACTGTGCATCGAGCTGCCCAGCTTCTGGTTCGTTAGCTCGAGTTCCTTCTTCAGGTTACCGAGCTCACGTTGCAGATCGTTGTTCTGGTGCTGGAGCTCGCCGATGTACCCACCGCCATCGCGTAGTATGTGCGGATTCGGACTCTGGCGCGCCGACCTGGAGCCATAGAGCTCGTCCTCCAGGTAGAGACCGCGATCGCGGCTACGATCGCGGCTCGGTTCACGGATCGGCATGAATTCCCGATCATGATCGAGAACGCCGGCGGTGGCACGGTCGAGGCTAGTGTAACGCGCTACCATGCCCGCCGAGCTGGACATGGCGGGTCTCGAGGCGCTTCTGGATCGGTGATGTCCGCCCCCACCGCCCCCGGTCGACATGCTCCTGCCCCTCTCCTCGAGCATCACGGGACTGCCGAGGTCCTCGTCGCGAGAGTAGTACGGGCTGCCCAGCTGATGGTGATGGTAGCTGCCGCCGCCGTAGCCGAGGTGCTCCGGCGAGTTATTGCCGCTGCGTGTGCCCCGTTGCTTGCGACCGCCCAGAGGACTGCCACGACCGCTCGCATAACTTCGCGACGGACTACGATCGACGGTCGGCAGTTCGCCCACGCGACGACCGCTGCGTGGCGAACGTGTGCCACCACCGGGACCGATCACGCCGCTGCTTGAGTAAGGGTCCCGTGACATTCTACGGAGAACCTCCGCGTGAAGTCAAACCTCACGTTCCTTCTTTTCTTTCTGTTCCTTGGCGTGTTAGTGTCTCGTCGGTGTCACACGTCAATGTTCCTTCTCTCCTCCGTTCCGGTTCTCCCCTCTTCGTCGTCGCTTTGTGCGATTTTTTTTTAACAATGCCACGCGTCTTCTCGCGACCCAGTGATCAGGTCTGTCCGTATCTTCGGCAGTGCTCGTTCTCCAATTTCTTCGAGAGAATCTGAAATCGAGGATCTCGAAAATCCTACAATTGCATTGTCACGCCTCGCAGCTGTTCCCCTGTGCCTCGTCACCCTCGCGCATTTTCACGCTCATATCAGCCCGATTGCTCGCACGGATGATTCGTCCAACGAGCGCGTTTCCGTCCAATCGCAGCGGGACGTCCGTCCTGTCCGAGGGTTCAGTTAGGGTAACGATCGGATGATGGAGGCGTGCTGCTGCCTCGCGCGCCGGAATCTCGACGATCGCTTTTCCTCGGCCGACTCGAACCTCGCTTCGTTCCCAGCTTCGTGCTCCAGCATTCGGCTATGGTCGATGATGCACTCCCGATTTCTTTGCGTTTCCGTGATCTTCGATGCCAAGACACGGCAGACGCGACGTGCTGCGGGATGAACGAGGACGTTCCTATTCTACGTGTGATGGCGCGTTCGCGAACGACCAGCATTGACGAGAACGTGTTTGTCTCGATCTCAGTCTTGGCTCTCGTCCACGCGTCGCAAGACAGTTCTATCTCCTCGTGTCGTCGTCGATCTCAACGGGGGCCGTCGATTCGGTCTCTCCTCCGTCGATCGATCGATCTCATGCTCGCGTCGCGACAATGATCCTCCGTCCGATCGATCTTCTCTCCGCCCATCCGCCGCACCGCCACCCGCCGCCTATCCTCGCCTTTTCACCCGAGTACAACTTCCGTGCTTCTGGTCGACGTACTACTACTAGCGGATACTACTACTACGCGCGTGGGTCACTTCGTACTCGGCGGCGGCGTACGGCGAGGTCACGACCCTCGTCGGCCCGAGGATCGATCTTTGACCTTCTTTCGGCCGGCGTAGCCTATCGAACGAGGGCGAATAGAGATCGAGGGGGAGGAGAGAGAGAATGAGAGGCGGTCGGCTCCCTCTTTTTCCGCCTTCCTGTTTTCCTGAGCCGACGCCGACGCGGCGAACGAACGAACGAACGAACGAATGTGCCCTCTCTCGCGTACCCTCTTTCGTACCCTCTTCCGGTCTCTCTCGCTCTCTCCCTCGGCCTCCGGTCGCTCCGGATTCAAGAACCGTCCTTTCACGAGCGAGCCAAGTCGACGAACCGAGCCGACTACGTTTCCCTTCCTCGCCGGTCCCCGTTCCACCCTCGTGTGTGGCGGGTCGCTCGCACGCGCCTGCGTGTTGAGTGGGTATGCTCGCGTGTATGCGCGTACTATATACGCGCGCGTTTCCGCTCTCGTCGCCGGCGCACCGCACACACAATCGCACTCTCAGGGAATGGGTCTATATCTTCCTCCGTGTCGCTCCTCTCGCTACACGTCGCGCACCGCCGTACCGGTTTTGCGAAACCAGCGCCTAAGGTCTCTCCTTATCGATCACTCCTATTCTCTCGCCTCTCTTTCCCTTCTCTCCATCTCTCTTTCTCTCTTTCTTTCTTCTTCCGGTCCCGTCGTCGCCGTATCGCCGTCCGCGCCTCGTGGACGATACTCGACGTCGCTCTTTGCTCGACCTGGAGAAATACGACCCGGCGACGCGAGACAGACGGAGAATCAACCACCGACCGACCCACCGACCCACCGACCGACCGACCAACCGATTCAACCGACCAACCGCACTACACTATCCAACGTTCACTACCGGAGCATAGCCACTTCCATGCACTGACGCCGCAACCGACACCGACACCGCCACCGCTGCCGCCGCCACCGGCGTTCGCCGCCACCCTTGCGCCTACCCACCCTCTCGTCTTTTCCCCGCTCACTCTTTTCCTTTTCTCCCCGCACTTTTCTCTCTTCCTCTCCCCCCCTCTCTCTCTCTCTCTCTATCTCTATCTCTGTGTGTGTGTGTGTGTCTTCCTCTCTATCGTTCGCGCAGTCAAACACAGGCCAGCCACCTCACACGCATACACACACGTATACACCTGCGATTGCGCGAAATTACTCCCCCGTTTGGCAGCGTTCTGTGTATATGTATATGTGTGTCACTGGCCACCATTGAAAGTCACGGAAGAGACAAGGAGGAGCTTCGACACGACGCGTGACGAGTCCGCGCGCACTGAGAGAGTACTCTAATGCCGGTTACGATCGCGGGAGAGAGGCCACCCTTTACTACTACCACCATCACAACCACCACCATCATCAACACCACCACTATCAGCAACCACCACCACTGCCGGCTTCGCCATCATTGGCGCCATCTTCCTGGAAGCGTCACCGCGAATCACGTCCCTACCCCACGAGCATCCTCCACATTCAACGTCACTATGACCGTCGTACTCGTGCACACATACACACATTAGAGGACGAAGGTAAAAGCGTTGGTAGCGCCGCCGATCGACGTCATCGACGTCATCGCGACGCCACCACGCCGAGGCGTATCACCCGCTCGATTTTCCCGTAAACCCTCCCGATCGCACCCCTTCACCGCTGATCGAGCTCCGACGATATTCCACCTTTAGGGTGGTTCTTCAACGCGCAGATGCACACGCGGATCCATGTATGGACGAAAGAGTGCAGAGTACCATGTAGTTACGCGATGTCACTATGCGACTTCTAGAAGAAAGTTTCGAATTTTGAGAATTTTCGAGCGCATATCAAATTAATAAAATAATATAAAATATAAATATGATTTGACAATAAAATAATTAAATTTAAAAAATTGAGATAGTTTGATAGTTTAATAGTTTAATATTGAGCCAATATTTTAATAGAATTTCTTAAAATATTTTGAAAAGTATACTTTATTTTAAAAAAGCTGATTTTGTCAATAACAATTTGCAATTAATATATTAGCAATAAATCTGTGAAATATGGAAAACAGCTAAATTAGTTTTATATATTGTAAAATAAATATTTTTAAGAAAAATTTGATAAATTCAATTTACTTTAATATGGATTGATAAATAGATAGTTAAGTAAGAATGCTTAATAAAAGTTCAATATCTAAAACCGCTAAGTTAATTGATTGTAGAATATTTCCTTTAAAAAGATTTACCAAAATATATTTAGGAAAATTAATTACGAGATATATTAAAATAAAATACTCTATGTTACTATTATAACCACAGTGGAAAATCTGCCATTTCAACGATTTAATAACAAATAGAAATGATCACACACACATAATCAACAATGTTCTTTTTTTCTTTAAAGATTATTATTTTTTAAATGTAAGTGATAAAAAACTTAGTTGTGAGGTATAAAAGTTTAGCTATTGTTTGTCGTACTGATGCTTATGCTTTGGATGCCTTTCAACATGGTTTCTTACGCACGTTTTAATGTTATTATTATTTTACTAATATATATAATTAAAGTTTTATATATATTTAATAATATATTTATTTCTAAATATTCAATATTTGTCAGACATATGTCGTAAAAATGCATAACAATTTGTAAATCTGACTTTCATACTAAAAAGTAATCTTTTATACTTAATCTTAAAAAGCAATTTTGATTCGTATTATCGCTTGGTGCTGCAATAGTCTATATAGTGAAAATGGCTATACGTAGAAAAGGGAACAAAAACGTGAGTGTCACTCGGGCACTTTGACCTCGCACTCCGATACTGAATGCACGTTCCACTTGGAAACTCTTTTCCCTTCACCCCCTGACAACCAGGCGTACGAGCGTCGCAATCAATGAAGCTACGATTCACCGAGCAGTAGCGTATCATTGCCGAATTGGATTAAAACGGTTTCTTTTGACGTAATAAATCTAGTATTTAGTACAGAACGGTGGCACGAGTTGTTCCTACTTGCAAAAGGAAACTTGGAAAAGAAATTTGCAATGTAATAGTCGGTCGATTAGCATGCGTTTCTAATTGCATTGATTTAATTGCGCAAAACCGGAAATTTATCAAAAAAATTTTATTATTTATAATAAAATATGTAACATTAAGATACATAAAAATTTTGTAAATTAGAATTATTCTAAAATTCTAAAATTAAACCAAATTTTTTTAAATTACATTTTTATATAGTAATCTGTTAATTTATTAATTTAATTTGTATGCTTTTAGTTTTTTTGCATTTTTGCTTTGAATGCAAAATCAGAATTACTTATATATCTTTGGATATTCAGGAAAACGAGTTAATATTTTGTAGAGTTAACTTGTGAATAATTAAGCGGAAAAAAAATTTCAGATGAAAGCCGATCATACGCATAATCCAAATTTATGATGTTAATAATGCAATGCTATAATTATCATGTCTATCTAAGTGTTCGGTACATCCCTGGACGTTTAATGGATGCAGTCTCATATTACAGTTTGCCTTGGACATGATTGCGTTCGTGATTATACGTCATTATAGCGATTAGCCTACAGAATCTTCTTTTTATTGATTGTCAGTAAAGAAAATTAATTGATTCATCTGGTAAAAGCAAATAAACAATTAATAATAAAACAAATTTAACAAATTAAATGTATATAAGACAAAAAATTGAGGATTAGCTATAATTTTTCATTTTTTTTTACCATTACTTTTATTCTACTCTCTTGTTGCTCAATTTGATTGCGATTAACTCATCGGATTGATCTATATTTTGTAAATACGGAGGATTGCGCAGAACGATTAACTAAGCATGAAAGGGCGTGTTTTTGTGATAATGTTCAGTTAAAAGCGTATCGCGATGCGATGCATGTAACGATTCCAAACGATTTTATCCGTCTCGACATGAGTTTAATTAAGTAGAAAATCATAAAAATCAGAGAGAAATCATGGTAAATATTATCGAACGTTAATCGCTACGCTGTAATAATAAATTCGTCAACAGCGATATAAATTAGTAACCATCGAACAACCATTGACTTTTGCACTTGAGTGTTTACAACTTTCTGCTAATGTTTTCGATATTCATACAATTGTGATAATATGATCTCGCTGTCCATGAGATACGTGTGTGACATTATTTATAATTATTATGGTAGATAAATCGGAATTTCTTATAGATATGACACTTATCAAGTAAAGCAAATATTAATGTACTTGAACGATAACTAGTAAATAATACACTATTTTAGTTTTTTAATTCGTTTTATCGTAAGTTAAAATACAGAAATAGATAAAAAAACACAGATTTGAGACAAAACAAAAGATTTGATCTAATTAAAAATACGTATATTATTGTATCATATCTTCAGAATATTATAAATATCAATATCTAGATAATCAATTGATATCATACACAAGATTTTAATAACAACTTTATATTGAACAAATATAGATATAATTTAAGATTAAAGATTTTTTGAAATTTCTACGCGATTTATGCATTGAATCAACATTAATCAATCAACACCGTACAAGTGGCAGATAATTGTTGATATTTTCATGAAAATTAAATTAATTTGATTGTAAAAGATTTCTTTCTAATTAACAATAAAGAAAGTATTATATCAAATTTGTTTAAAACTTTTCTGTAAGTTTGTAATTTCTATTTTATATGAATAAGTATATTAAAATATCGCAAACAAAAAAGTAAAATGCAAACTTCACGATTAATTCACGTATAACATTTTTTTATTGCTGTTCTATTCTATAATAAAAACTTTTAATCCTGCAAAAATAATTTATTTACCCATCTGTTAGCAAAAAATAATAAGAAAAACCATGAAGAGAAATAAAGGAAAGATAAATTGAATTTACTTTCATCTAATCAATCACCTTTATCTTTCTACATGTTAAAAGATAATAAATTCAAAATTTTTCAAACTCCTATTTCATCAGTTTTATTTTCAAAGTTGGAAAACTGGAATTGCAGAAACATTAGCGATTAAATATTTTCGGCAAATATTTGATATTTGCACTTTTCGACAGAATTTTTCGACATATGGCCAAGATTTAAGGATAAACGGAGGTCGCGTCGGACAGCAGGACTGGTTATTCCCACTTGACCGTGAGGCTCTCGGGGACCAAAGTGATAAAACTTAAGTGGCGCAGCCTAAGGTCGTTACCACTATCGTACGTGCGTATCGTGCTCGAGCATCCTGCGATCGTCAGTAGACGATGACCACTTGGTGGCGTCGCATCGTTTCTCGATTGTCCATTTGAATCGCTTACGCTTACTTGAAATAGACATGTGGAACCATGTACTTGTCTTGTTTCTGGCCACCGTGCCCTGGCAAGCTTCCTCGCTGCACTCGGAGTCGGGCCCTTGGGTCCAGACTACGAAGGGCGAGATCTGGCCCATGCCAAATTCGCGTGTAGTCAAAGAAGACTTCTATGTATTACGACCATCCAACTTCGATATTCGAGTAAGTTCTCTAAAATGCAAATTCGATATCTTGTTTAGCAAAAAAGATTTGCATAATTATTCATTTTTATAACTTTTTGTGCAATATTTATGAATTTTTTAAATAAATTGCTAAGCTGTCACATGTCTGTCATTTTCTCGACAGCAGTAAAATAATAAGACTTACGTGTAACGCAAAGTGGCAATAATGACTTGATAAAATTGTTTTTTCATCGAATTTAGAGACGGAAAAATTAAATGTAATATTTTACGATTTATAATGATGAGCAATTATTTACGATTTATAATGATAGCGTTACATATTTTTATCAGTAATCACATTTTAGTTTCTACAATTTGCTTTTTACTTTTTTCTTATTTTGTATCTTTGCCGCATATTCTTATTAATAATTAATAATTACAAGCGAAGATGTGTATTGGACTATTTTTTAGAATTTTATAAAATATATGACTTTAATTTTTTATCACAAATGTTATATAAAAATTAATTTATTGTAACTTAAGTGATTTTTTAAACAAAGGTGAATGGCGAGACGTGCGATATAATGACCGAAGCGATAGAACGATACACTGGGATTATCTTGACGGAAGCTAGGATAGCGAGGTTGGTCACGGAAGGGCAACCAAGAACATTCGTCCGAGACGATCCTCACTTCAAAGGCACTCTTGAGGCCCTAAGCATTCGTCTTTTGCAGCCTTGCGAGCAAAATGGGGATCATTGGCCACACTTATATATGAATGAATCCTGTAAGTTTGTATACTATAGTATAAAGTTATGTCCAAATTAGGCCTAATTTCTTAATTTTGATAATTTACATGACTCCTGTTAATTAATTATATTTATTAAATAATAGGAAACGCTTGAAAGCAATTTAATCGGTCATTTACAAATTTAATTATTTAATTAATTAACAAATATAGCAAAAGATTTGCATCTTTTATTATAAATTTTTCATGATTTAAATGCATATTCCATTCAATAGCATATGCATTCAACAGCTAGTATGGCTATGCTCGCTTTGCATATACAGCATGCATTACAAAGTAATAGATTGTGCGCTAACAAAGTAATTGAATAATGCCAGTGGGCGACTCACTGGTAACCTCGACCTAATGCTTTCCGATTTGCGTTGACAGACTTGCGTGCGCGCAAACTAAATTTTTGCAGACCTTAATAACGTCTCGTCTGATCAACGTCTTGTCTCGATCAGTGCTAAACTGGTTTAATATCGATTTTATAATTTCTGAGCGTCTGCATTAAATGGTACACCGAGTGACAAATAAGCGATGAATAAATGATAAAAAAGATACTACTAAGTTACAAAACACAACTATAGTTCGATGTTTAATATACAAAGGCAGAAATAATAAGTTTATCTATTTCTGATTAATCCGCGTATTTTCTTGTAATTTTTATCTACTTTCGTTTTTAACGTTGCAATACAAAAAACGTTTCTCTGTATAATAGATTATAATATTTATTATAATATACAACTATTTTTTTTTAATTGTAATGCACATTATAATTTTTCACGTTTATATGTGCATAAACTTGTGCATATGTTAATATTAAGTAGCAATTGCACGTATAATTTGTGGTTTTCTCGATTTATTCCTTGTGATATAACTACGCCTGGAATCTTATAGAAAACTACAGCAGTCGATCGTTTAACTGATCGCGGAGAGAATTACAATTAATTTAGTTTGATTAAACCAAGGCGATTCCGCAGCGCAAAATGATGAACGCGCAACATTTTCGAGCGAATATATGTATAGTGCAATCAGCGAAACGACTGAAACGAGGACGAATAATAAAACAACTTTGATCTGCTTCCTAGTTTCTTATCTCCAAATGCCGTAAGGTCGTAATCAGCGATTAGCGGATTTTCTATTTTATCTGTACTCTTTTTCCTCAACTAAATCGATTTAGCCCAACAAGTGACATCACGGTACATGCCTTTTGCAGATAAACTCGAGATAAACGAGACATCGTCGGTCGCTGTTCTACGCGCCGAATCCGTCTGGGGAATCCTCCGAGGACTCGAGACCTTTTCGCAGGTATTGGCATCCGGCGACGGTCCGAGCGTAAGTACATATTTATATATTTAAGTAATGAACTCTTTTTTTTATGTAAAATTTAAAGAATTTGAGATTCGAGGCCTTTAAATAATGATTTTTTAACTTTTTACATCGTATATGTTTTCACAAATAACATTATTTTTAACGGCGCTATTGATCTTGTTAAGAGGAGAATAATTTTCAGAATATATGCGGCATGTATTTTTTGATCTTTTTAAAGTTTTTTATATCTTAACGCATAAAGTAACAATTAAAATTGTTTATTCAAAATTAAAGGCAAAGGCACCGTCTTATAGTAAAACTCTATAATCTGTTTCTAAGAATAAATTTCATCTTACGGGCGCGCAATTTAGTAAGAAACTACATAAAAATTTTTAAATAATAGAAGTTGCAGATATTTTGCATAACAAACATATTATATCGTCTCGAGGATCTCCGATATGCGTATTACAATTCTCATTCAAACTATTGAACGAAACGTAAATTTAACCGTGCATTACAGTTAAAAGTAAGATGCCAGACTATTGTGGACGCGCCGAAACTGCCGCATCGCGGTCTTCTGTTGGATACCTCTCGCCACTACTTGCCCTTATCCGACATCCTATTGACACTGGACGCCATGTCATACAACAAACTGAATGTCCTTCACTGGCACATCGTTGACGACAACAGCTTTCCGTATCAAAGCACTAGGTATCCCGACTTGTCTGCCAAAGGCGCTTATCATCCTTCGATGATTTACACCCCTAACGACGTGCAGAAAGTTGTCGATTACGCGAGATTACGAGGAATCCGAGTAATGCCCGAGTTTGACACACCTGGACACACTAGATCATGGGGCCTGGCTTATCCTGAATTACTAACTACATGTTACGGTAGATAAGAAAGAATATAATTTCTCAATTAATTAGACTATCTGTATAGAAATCTTAATCTTGAGACGCAAATAATATTTTGAAAATCTATTTATACTAATTTTTGTTTTGTATGTTTTCTATAAAACTTTGTCATATATGATTGCTAAGCTACAGAATTAAGTGATTTAAAAGTTTAGCTTTGATATTTTTTTAAGTAAATTAAACTGTTTGTGTATTCGTTAGATTCTTCCGGAAAGCCGAACGGTATATTAGGCCCGATGAATCCGACAAATCCGTTGCTGTACGATTTCGTACGGAATTTATTCTCCGAGATCGTGCAAGTATTCCCGGATCAATATCTCCACTTGGGTGGCGACGAAGTACCCTTCGATTGCTGGGCCAGCAATTCGGAAATTGTCGAGTACATGAAGCTGCACAATATGTCTAAGAAATACGAGCTGCTCGAGAACGAGTACATCGCCAAGATACTCGCGATCAGTAACTCACTCGACGCCAATACTATCGTATGGCAAGAGGTGAGTGCAATCTATTTTATTATTTTTCTTTACAGCCGATTGCCTCAAATACCTCTGTGTTCGTTAATTAATATTCTTTTATTATGTACATGAATTATGTAATTTACAGGTTTTTGATAATGGCGTCGTGATACCCGCGAACACTGTAGTACACGTTTGGAAACCGCAGCGTTGGCAAAAGGACTTGGAGAGAGCGACGATGGCAGGACATCCGGTTTTGCTGTCGTCTTGCTGGTATTTGGACCATCTCCTTACCGGTGGCGACTGGGCAAAGTATTACAACTGCGACCCCTTCAACTTTAACAACGCAGCCAATGTTACACATTTGATGCTCGGCGGCGAGGCTTGCATGTGGGCAGAGTTCATCGACAAGTGAGTGTTTTCTTTTTTTTGTATCTCTTTTTTTATTTGAAAGCCCACGATTTATGGACGGGAGATAAAATTAAACAAATACAACGCGTATTATAAATACAATACATACATATTAATTCATGTTAATTAACCCTTTGCATTTCAAAGCCGCCGCTACGGCGACATACATAGTAAGTACCATAACTCCAAAGGCGCCGCTGCGGCGACAAAACATTTCTGTAAACAGGAATGCTGGAGTTACTGGTCGGTCGTGTTAAAAAATTCATGGAGTGCAAAGGGTTAATATTTTAATCACAATAAGACGAATTAAATTATCAAAAATTTTTTTAAATTAAAAATGAATTATAAGAATTTAAGCAACATTTCTTGATAAATTAGTGAATAAATAATTTAATTTAGTGATAATTCTGACCAATAAAGCGTCTGATTTAATACACGCGTATTTTTTATAAAGTTTAGATTTATAATCGTATTTTTAATATATTGAAAGAGCGGTAAAACGTAGCAAGTAAAATACTACACAGACAGTTATTTATTTTGCTTGACAAGAGGATGGTTATTTGCGTGATGTATATCGAGCTTTCTCGTCGAGCTACTGTTTATTTTCAGAAATAACGTGCATCCGAGGATTTGGCCACGTGCGAGCGCGGCGGCTGAGCGTCTGTGGAGCTTCAACAAACAGGATAACAATGTTGCCGCCCAACGTCTGGAAGAGCATGCCTGTCGCATGAATAGACGTGGTATACCCGCTCAGCCGCCGAATGGGGCAGGATTCTGCGTGACATAGCCGGCTGTTTGCCAATCGACACTAATGCTCTGTTTAAACAATGTATTATGCTCGTATAGCAAGCACGCGAAAAGTACGAACGTCATTCCGTACACTCATTCATTGTTATTGTATAAACATATATCACAATAAAGTTAGATTGAATAATATAAACTTTTATTTTTTTTGCACCGTGTATAATTATGCAAATTTTACAGTAGCAATCTTTATATCACACACATATTAAATAAAAAAAATATATATATATATAACTATAATTATAATAATAATAAAAAATTAAATAAAATTTGCTTTAATTCATTTATCTTGAATGTAACAAATGTGTAAACCTAGTAAGTATATCAGAGTATCTAGACCTATTCTGCATATGAATGGTCTTGATTGTGTTACATCTATTTATTATCCCTCCCTGACAATGTCAAAATCATGATCTATTGTTGAATGTAGATATTACGACAAAGATACGACGTTGCTTTTGTTACAAAGCTTTCAGTCGAGCTCGCGAACCATTACTGGAATGCACCAACTGATGTGCATCGAGAGTATTAACGAACATGGACATGCAGTGACAGCTGCATTCCCTGCAGAAGGAATCCTTTTGTCCGAAGTTAAACAATTGTGACGAAATTGATTTCCGTTGGCGGTTAAAATCAATTTAAACTGTATACCTGTTATCAATAATGTTATATATAAATATATATCAAACACGATTGACGAATTAACATAACATGCTTACACATTGCATGTGAATTATGTAAGTTAGACAAGTAATCAGTTTATTTGGACAGTTTATTTGGACTCCGCTACTTGAGTATTCATTCATACTGGATACATTCCAAAGTCCTCTATCTTAATCTGGATTTTGAATTTGCAATAATATTAAGAAACTTTTAATTAGAATTTTGTATGTAAAATTTTCATATTAGTTTATAATTGTTGAATATTTGATATTACATATTTATTGATGATTTATTGATAATGCCATTCAAAATAACATAAAATAAGATGTTTTCCTATTTATTTGAAACATGTAGTACAGCAGCGAATAAATATTTATGATTTATGAATCCATATCAATTTATTATTTTTAAATTGTATATAGACTAGTGTAAGGTTTCTATCAAATGAAGAAGAATATTACTCAATGCTTCATTAAAATAACAATGACGTCGTCTATGATTCATTTTAAATAAAAAAGAAGTGGGAATCACTATATGTGATTCCAGCGCGTAATTTATTCCGCAAACATCAACGATAAATTTTTTTATAGGTCACCAAGGTTACTGCTAAATAATCTTTGGCTGATTAGTTTGACGATAATGAGAAGCTAACTTTATATATATTTCAAAGTGTCTCTTGTCAATAACCGACAAAATTCTCAATGATCTTGAATGATTATTGCGACAACAGATATAATCGTCTCCCATTGGATCAAGAGATCAGTTGTTATCAATGATTTTTATATAACAAATACTATATATTTTCCCAAATTTTCAACAAATATATCATCAATCAACGTTGTTGAAGAACACTATTAGTACGTTATGTTGAGGTAAATTTTAATAAGAATTTATACGATGAGATTTGTATTAATAAAAAATTGTGTTAATGTGAATTCAAATTTTCATGCGGACGTTACATTATTGCGTCCAAGTTTTTGCTTTGTACAAATAATTGATAGATTGAAGAAGATCAAAATAAATAATAACTAATAATAACTAAATTTGATAAATTTAAGAATTTACACTCAAGAAACATTTCACACAAATCAGGTTTTAAACTTTCTCTTGGATTATTATAAATATATGATATATTAATTAATAATTTGACTATTTATCAAATTCTAGAAATTGCAATACTTTGAGTCTTTCTCCTCTATCTCGTTTTAAATCAACATGTCCAGTTCAATGTTCGATGATTTGTTGTACTCCACCTGTAAGCTTTCCTTACATGCCTCGTGCCCAGTGTAAGACAGTTTATAGGCCTCAATCTCCACCAAAACCGTCTCCTAAGGCGATGGTATGTTTGTTATGCAAAATATCAATTTTTTCTTCTAAAAAATTGTCTTCGATAAAAAATGTCATATCGTGATGATACATTTTGGTAATAAAAAAATTAATCAACATATAGTTTGAATGAATTGTAAAATAAAATTTATTCTTAAAAAAATATTATGACAGATTACCAATATCATCCTCAAGAAATATTTTTATCGTATTTAAAGATAAAAATTTGTGTAAATAAGTTTTATAATAATTTTATTATATTGAGACACAGAATATATAAAGTACAATATATAAAACAACTGTAAAAATTGTTTACTTGAAATCAATATACAATTAAAAATGAAAAATAATATATTTGATATAATATAATTTTGTTAAAAAAGAATTTTGTGAAAGGTTTATCCACTACTCTATCCAAATTACTCCACATTATATCCACCAAAAATGGAAGTGACGTATTTACCTTCGCCATTTCTTTCACCTCCCTCATCGCCAATCTGCTTTTACATTTGCACTACGAATTGCATTCCCTATATGCCTTGTTCACCGACAGTCCTACGTAATTCGCCTCGCAAACCACTTTGCCGTTAGTTATCATATTTCTCTTTATGAGGATTTGTTACTGAGATTAATGTGAGTTTCTTGTTCGCCAGTATCTTGTCCTCCACGCTAGGAGACGTTGTTCTAAATGACGAGTGACTGGACTGTAATTTTGAGAACGATGTGTCACAAATTTATGTGAGCAAAAAAAAAAAAGATATAGTGCTTATTAAATAACGCGCATAAAATTGTAAAATTAAAATTACGAGGTTCTAATAATATAATAAAAAACTGATATATTTATAGAAGTAAAAATAATTAAGACTCGGTAAACAAAATTCATAAAAGACTTACTCAAATTTGATAATCAAACAAGAAACAATTTCGAACAATCTACATGATTATTTTAATGCCCTTAAATATTTATTTGTTAAAATTATAGCATTTTGATGTTTCTAAATAAATATTTATGATGTAAATTCTATTTTCAGGTAAAATAAAGACGTATAAATAAAAATGTAATCTATTATCCACAACCTGTTTTGATGATACAATTGATGTATCGATATCGATTTTATCTCGAAGAAGACATTATCGCAATTGTTTTGAACAGAAAACTGTTATCTCAAAGAAGACTAAACTACATAATATTTACGCAATAAACAAATGATATAAATCTATATTTGTATTTCTGAAACAGTACGCTGTAACAAAGAAACTTGATTTTAAATTGATTGCATTGTCAATTCAAGGTTTGTAATATTATTTGAGATAAAAAATTGTACGATCAAACGAACTTACCTGTAAGTGAAGTTCGATCGTGATTATACGAAAAGCCTCGTTCGAAGAGATTACACATGTAGTTTCCTTTCTTTATACTAATCAACCACACATTTAGAGTGAGAAAAGTGCGCTGGTGGCGGCGCCCCTGCTGCGCCGTCCCGCGCGCCACGTGATATCACTGCTTCATTTTTAGAGTTTGTAATCTTAAAATTGCTTTTATAAAGAGGGATATGGGTAGAAAAAACAAGGAACTTGTTAGGGAGGGGGGTGTAATCTCTTCGAACGAGGCTTTTCGTATGATCACGATCGAACTTCACTTACAGGTAAGTTCGTTTGATCGTACAATTATACTTCAAGCCTCGTTCTCGAGATTACACATGTAGTTGTTTAGAGATGGCAATTTTAAGGAACAGTATTGGCATAGCTCTACATGTACACACAACACATACATATATATATATATATACATATATATTCCTGCATACACATATATACGTATTTATATCATTAATAAAATTTTTTCTAATTATAGAAGTAATTATAAGCGTATAACATAAGGCAACACAAAATATATGGATATATATACTTATAACGCAAACTATATACTGAAGACAATTCAACCAATATATATATATCTGTAATTATATCTCTATTAATATAGCATTTTTAGTTTTTATTTTTTTTTTTTTATTCAGTTAAGACCGTATTTGAAAAAACATCATTATTGGCTGTAATTGGACGGTTGTAAAATTAGCGAAGACCTGGGAATTCTCTGACCATCCCGCCGTTTTTCTAATTATCGACAAATTTATACCTTTACAAAAGGCTTTTGAAGTGGAAGCGTGTCGCGTTGAGTGTGCCGAAAAAATAGACGTATCTATTTTGCTCTCTCGGAGAACGGATTTGATCCACTGACTGAAGGTCTGCGTATTTATAGCTCTGTAAGGTTTTCTTGTCGTAATGAAGAGCTGTTGTATATTTCCTCTAAGCTTCGCTGTAACTTCTAGGTATCTAATAACTGAATGCATTAAACATAGTTCTGGTTTTTCGATAAAGGCTGGTATTATAAGTAATGGCTGGAACTTCCCAGGTCCTGACGTTTTTATTATATCCGGAACTCTAATTTCCAATCGTCCTGGTAACTTAATAATATTATTAATAGTAATACTGGTTAGCGTTTGTGCCCTCTGGGCTGTACATAAAGCTAATAACATTGCAGTCTTCTGTGTTAATACTCTAAGACTTAGATCTTTTAAAGGAGAAAGCGTTTCTAAATGCCTAAGTACTATGGATACATCCCACGTGAATGCATACCTCGGACGTGCAGGTTTTAATCTAAAAACTCCCTTCAAGAACCGAGTGATTAAGCTAGCTTCCCCTATCTTATTTTCTGAGATTAAGGAGATCGCAGACCTATGAGAATTTAATGTGCCATATGACGCACCGGTTCTAAAACATTCCGTTAAAAACTGTATCACATTGTCGCACGTTGGTTCAAAAAGGTTTAGGTCTTTTCGTTCACAGTATGTTTTCCACTGCCGTAAAGATGATTCGTATTGTTTAATCGTTGAATTTGCCAACGATGCTATCATTATTTCTAATGACTCTTGAGGTACACCTTTTTTCAGAAAGGCTTTGCCGATAATCTCCCTGCAATTAAACGGAGATGTTGTGCCCTGGGGTGCTGTGACAACCTGCTTGATGATAAAAGCAGATTAGGATGTGCATTAAACAAAATCGGGTCAGATATTAATAGACTAGTAAAGAGAGGATACCATGGCTGATTTGGCCAATCAGGCACCACTACGATACCACAGGCTTTATCTTGCTTTATTTTGACTAGAGTCCTTAATATCAGGATGAATGGGGGAAAAGCGTAAAAGTTTAAGTCGGACCACGAGAAAGTAAAAGCATCAATTTTTCACTATTGGGCTCCGGATACCAGGAAGCGAATCTATTACATTTTTTATTTAAATTCGTAGCAAATAAATCTATTTCTGGTCTGCCGAACTTGGTAACTATTTCCTTAAACGCAAACGATGCTAGTTCCCATTCTCCATCGTTATTTTTTAATCGTGATAGAGTGTCTGCCTCTACATTGTCTTTGGAAGCTATATAGGACGCAAATAAAAAAATATTCTTGTCCTCGGCCCATTTCCAAATTTTTTGAGCTAGAGAATTATATTTCATATATCTAACGCCTCCCATTTTGTTAATGTAAGATATTGCTGTGGTATTGTCTATTCGTAAAAGAATCTGACAATTCCTAACATCTATCGCTAATTTACATAAGGCCAGATATACCGTCAGAAGTTCTAAATAGTTTATATGCTTCCTTTTTTCAGATTCATTCCAAAACCCATGTATCCTCTCATTACCATTCACAGCTCCCCAGCCCGTTGTAGATGCATCAGTGTAAATTATCATTGAAAATTACCCGATTAATACGAGTTAATTGAATTTTTTAGACTGGCTCTCCACCAATCTAGTTCCGAAAGAAGGTGCTGGGAGATTATTATAGTCTTATCGTAATCATAATCGTTGATAATAAGAGCCAGTAGTTTTTCTCTTTCTAAAAGTCTTGTATATAATAAGCCGTATTCTATGGCTGGACAAGCTGCGACTAGTTTACCAATTAATTGTGCTAGATCACTAATTAAACAAGTCTTTTTTGACATAAATTTGGTTAACATTGTTACGTAATTTGTTCTTTTTGTTCTGTCAGCTCTATATGATATTTAACAGAATCGATGACAAACCTAAGAATTTACATCTCGTTGATGGAACAAGTTGACTCTTTCTATCATTTATTATGAAGCCTAATCGAGATAACAATTCTCGTGTTTCAAAGACGTTAATTCTACATTCTTCTAAGGTGCTTCCTATGCATAGAAAGTCATCTAAATAGATGACTGAGGATAAGCCTCTACTCCGTAGAATTTTTGCAACTGGTTTCAATAGCTTTGTAAAAACAAAGGGGGCTGTACAAAGTCCAAATGGTAAGCAAACAAATTCGAACATTGTGTCTAGAAATTGAAAACGCAAGTACTTTCGACTGTCTTTATGTATCGGTACTACATAATATGCATCCTCAAGGTCGATTGAAGCCATAAAATCTCCCGGAAATATTAATTTTATTGCCGTACGTAAATCTTCTAACTTGAAATGGGTAGTTTCGATAAATTCGTTTACTTTCTTTAAATTGAGAATAAAGCGGTGTGATCCGTCTGATTTTTTAACTAAGAAATACGACGATAGAAATTGATTTCTCTCTGGTTTACAAATTGCAATCGCTCCCTTAGACAATAAAGATAGAATGGCTTTTTTGCAGTTCTCTCTCTCTGTTTTAGAGTTAAACGTTACCACTGGTTCTTTATTTTGGTAAATCTTGGAAGAGAATTTGATTTTGTAACCTTGCACACAGTTTAATACGAATCTATCATTCGTAATTTTCTGCCATTCGGATAAGAGAACTTTTAATCGACCCGCGATACATACATTTATCTGGTTTTCCTCGTTGACCTGCTGGAACTCCGGTGTGTTCGTGCTCTCGAGTTGTATGGTTCTTTCGTCCTGAAGGTCAGACGAGAGCGGTTGTGGCCTTGAGTGTTGGGATAGCCTGCACGATTGGTGAACGGCCTCTTCACCTGCAGGCTCTTTGCGTTTAAATTTTTCTTAGAATATTGTGACAGACTTCTTGAAAACTGTTGATTTTTGACGTTCTGTGTTAGACTTGCGATACTTTTAGATTCTTTAATCTTGTCTGCTAAGTTTTCTCCAAACAGAAAAGTATCCGATTTTCGTTCTTTAAGGGTCGTCTTAAATTGTTTATTAATTCCGGGGTAAATGAAAGCTTTACGCGACTCGGTTTCGTTAAAATGGATTGCCATTATTAATTTAGCCGCTTCGTTAAGTCTCTGTACGAATAATAGCTTATCTATATCTTCTTCCTCAATCATAATCAATGTCAACGCCGAGCCGATTGCTGTGAGAGCTGATCCTGCTAGCTTTTGATTTTCGACCATAAAATTGTCCCTTTTAACTGCCGACTCAGAGAGTATGGCGGAAATTTCTGGGTTTAGTTTAGGTGCGTCAAATTCCGACGAACGAGCGTATTTGACCGTCAGCTCTTCCTTGGACTTCTGTTCTATTCCGTGTGTAATCCAGTAATTCCAACGCAGTTTCAAAGAATCATGTAAAACAATATCTAGCGCTTTTGATTTTTGCGGATCTTCTCCAAGCATCTCGAGGATCTCATTGTCGACCGTCGCCACTGTGTTCTGGTCCGAATTGCTTGGCGCTACGTTTTCTTTGTCTAACTGCTCAGTAAGTTGTTCATTTTCTTCTTTATCTGAACCTACATACACATACACATAAACATAGATATATATATATATATATATATTTATGATGTTTTGCCTCTCGTGCAAACTCATTGGTGGACTAGCCAATTTTGCCTCTCGTGCAGACTCGATTGACAACGTCTAACCTGTCTTGCCCCTCGTGCAAGCTCGTTAGCTATTTTATGCTATTATTCTAGATCAATTCAATAATGAATTCTACGAATCTAAATATCGTAATGTTTTGCCTCTCGTGCAAACTCATTCGACACAATCTAACCTGTCTTGCCCCTCGTGCAAGCTCGTTAGCTATTTTATGCTATTATTCGAAATAATTTCAATGATGTTTCTAACAGCTTACCTATTGCATCAGAGAGGTCCGATTCTTTTTCCTCATCTATCACCTGTCTTTGCTCTTCCTCCTCGTCCGTGCTGGAACTTTCCGGAACGGCACGTATGATGTCTAACTTTCTCTGTATTTTTTCTAATTTCTTATACAGATCTTGAATATCGTTAGCTTGACGCTTGCGTGACATGATGACGTTCCTCTAGGCACCCTGGGACAAGGCCCAGGCAACTTGTAATTATTACTTATTAATTGTTTGATGTATTCTCACTCGCACGTGCAGCTTCTAGCGCACAAAGAAAAGGAATGAAGCAGTGATATCACGTGGCGCGCGGGACGGCGCAGCAGGGGCGCCGCCACCGGCGCACTTTTCTCACTCTAAATGTGTGGTTGATTAGTATAAAGAAAGGAAACTACATGTGTAATCTCGAGAACGAGGCTTGAAGTATAATTCAGTATCTTTTGTATTACTCTACCAATAAATTCTGACTAATTGTATATTTATATTTTTCTCGTATATTCTTTAACATGTGTATATCAAAAATCCATTACGTTACTTTTTCTTTTTTACACATAATTATGATCATTTTTTTTTTAATTCAATTATTTTGCAATCTTATTTTTTTTTAAACTTTACGCTTCTTTGAAAGAGAATCTAGTCACGCTTTTTTCTTAAAAATAAAACAGTATTTTGTACTGTTTATTCCCGTATTTCTAGGACGCATATCCTGAACTTCGGGTTTTATTTACTACTTGTATGTATCGTTTCAGCGTCACACGTTTTCGTTCAAACACTTAAAGACCATAGATATATGGTCAACCAGCAGAACCTCATGAAATCTCATAACGATGAAAGGCAATATGAGTTTTAGCGCTTGATGGCAGTAATATAAGAGTAAGACGAATAATCCACAAGCTTAGATATATATCATTTTAATTAAATAATAAAATTTAGAGTATTAAATTTAATATTACTCCCTATTCATGAAAAAACGCAATAAGATAAAGTTTTAAAAATATGGTTTAAATTTTGTTCAAATTAGACGCTAAAAATTATGCAACATTTCTACAGAATAAATTTTTATCATAATTGCATAATTCGGAAATAAACGTGTATAAATTTCCATAAAGGCATACAAAAACTATTTTTTGTATGCCTTATTAGGTTATTTTTTAGTTTGTTATGAGTAAAGAGAATATGAGTAAAGAAAAGCTTTCGCGTAGTTTTTTTGAAAAATTTTGAAAATCCTGTACCTTTGTCATTTAATGCATGCCTGCGGCAGAGTGTCCAGGCATTATTTCGCAAACGTACACACAATCACAGGAATACCTTAACACATGAATTTGTCAACGAGTGGCACATTTGAATTGGCTTGTGAAATTCACACTCGTGCAAGTTCCTGTGACTGTTGAGATTCTTTATACCGTGATCAAAGTTTTTACGATCGTTGGACGTGCCCTTCGCAATCATCGCGCATAGTCGATTAATAAATATCCATTCTTGCATGGAGAAAAAATTCAACATTGTAGTATTATACTTGATTTAAAATTTGTTTCTTAGAATTAGCGCTTTTATTATGCGGCGGCAGCGGCTTTGATCATGCGGTGAAATATCATACGCTGGCCTAGTGCCTACTGACCTAGTGAAACCTTAGACCTGCGATTACTATTCCTCGAAAGGAAATGCAATTGTCGAGCGAGTTATCTCATATTATAAAGAATATTATGTTACCCAGGGAGAAACGTAAAGTCGAATAGATGTCTAGTTGACGTCTATTCGATAGATCTAAAATAAGTTGATTTTTGCATCTCGGTAGACGTCGAAATGGTTTCTATTAGACACATCTATTAGACGTCTTGTAGATGTCTTATAAATGTTGATTAGACGCCTTATATAAAGCTTATATAAAGCTCCTATCAAACCATGCATTAACAATTAAAATTGAAATTTGACTAAACAGAACAAAGAAATTTTAGTCTTCTGTCCTGATTAATTAAATTCCAATCTTCCATCTTTAATACGTAGTCTGATATGGGCTTAACCCAACGGATTGTTAATATACACTCACCCGAAAAAAAAGCGGTACACTGAAAATGTGGGAAAAATTCATCAAATTTCAACTAACGATAACTTCGTAAATAATAAAGATAGAAAGTTCTATAAAATATGGAAATGAAGCTAAAAATCTCTACTTTAAGAATCAATTTATTTCAATGTTGCAAAATAAATTTATTGAAAATGGCGGATGACAAAGCGCGAGCATGCAAAATTGAAAAATATGGTTCAGTTGTGACGCGAGGT